TCTGTTGCTTTCAGTGGCCACACAGGGATACATTAGGTGACTATATCACCTAATAGGGTTACTAAATAAGGCAGTCTCTATGGAAGATGTACTCCCAATGGTCAGTTCCTAAGCATTTCATGACACAGAAGCTGGCGTTGCTTTTGGTCCACAGGCAGTACTCTACACGTGCCTACTTGCCCTTAGAGATTTAATCAAGGTCTAACCTTCTCAATCAAGTCCAATGGCAAGAGTTTCTGACAAAGCTCTCAAACTCTCCACACAGTAAGGAGAGAAGACAAGTTGCAAGTGTGTTCTGTTTCTGAAGTCCCCTGCTGCTGAGTCCTCCTCTCACTGGCAGGCTGCTTTTACTTCAGTAGAGCAGGCAGCCCTGAGCTCTCCAGAGGCGGAAGCCCAGTCAAACTGGTGCCCTATATAAGGAATGGAAGAGCACTGCAAACCCAGTGCTGATAAGCTGCCAAGCTGTGCTCTCTCCCACTGTTCACTGCCCTGGGTGAACAGTACCTGGAGCACATGCTTGCCCTCCTCTGAGCTTCCTTCCAAACCACTTCTGCCAAGTGTAGCTATCCTTCAGCCATGTACCTTCCTCTCCTGCTCACTTTCCCTGCTGCTAAGAAACACCCATGATCCTCCCAAGGAGAGCTGAGAGACCCTGAGCTTTCTGCTTGGACTCAAGCAGGCAGATAGGCTATATATATCCCAAAGAGGTACGAGGTCTTTCTTCTCTCAGTCACAACATAGTTTCCCAGGGTAAAAGCACAGACTCACAAAGGCGCCATTAGCTGCTCCAACCAGCAATTAAAGAAACGAACCGCTGTTTTAGTCATTTGAGTGAGTCACAGCAGATCTTTCCAGAACAGAATAGGATCTTAGGCACATGTAAGCTCTATTGCTGTGAGTACCCTGAGCCGGGCATTTAACACTGCAGTGGTACCCACACGAGGCACAGGGGATGATGGGCACCTTTCAAAACCATTAATGTCTTCCTTCAAGAGGCAAAAAACAACTGTCCTATTAATGAACATGACAGGACTTTCCTGACGTGATGGCCATTCTGCAAATGAAATCTTCTGAGCAACAAACTCCCTAAAAACAGTGAAAACACATCCCCTTCTCCTCTTCCTCAGGGCACTCCGGGACGGCACTGCTGAGACTCCAAGAGCAATAACTGAAGTTTTGTAAACAGGGTGGAAGGGTCACTGCTGACCCTGGCCTTGTACCATAAAGAGACAAAGAAACCATACAAGGCTAGTCATATGCATGTTCTAGTCTATACAGAAACATCTTTAAGAAAAAAAAAAGGCCCAACTAATTTACATAAACAAGCAGCAGAGAACACGATCACTTGTCCTAACAGTGACTTGTCCCATGCATGTTAGTCTGCCAACAAGATCAATTCAAAGCAAGATGAAAACCCATTCCTCTAGGAGATCTCTATCTCACCAGTCCTGGAACACAAGCTTTTGACAAGTTACTAACACCCCCTCTCTGGGATCCTCATTAACCTTACACCAACTTAAGAAATGGATCCAAAGGACAGGCCCAATCTGAGTATAGAGTCGTCAGAGGTGAAGCAAAGAAAAACTGGTCACTAAAACACACAGACCATTTGAAAGAAATGAGGCCAAATAAAGACTATAGGGAGTAATTGTTTTTCTTCCTTATACTCTCATTTTATTTTCTTGTGTGTGAAAATGTACCTGTTTACATAAGTACTTCTCTGGATATTTCAAGAAAATTCCATAGATATGGATACTGTTTTACCCACTCCCACAGTGAAGTTCAGGATCGTGATTAAAGGATCTGAAGGTGCCCCCATGTGGTTCCAGAAGAAAGTGCTGCAAGTAAAGAAAGAGCAAAGTGCTCCTACATCCTGCACACGGGGTCTCTCACACAACTCCCTCTGCCCTGAACTCATACTGTAGGCAAGACCAACTCTGAACCCAGCCTTCCACTCCTGATGCTCCTTCCGATTCCCACATGCTGAGATTACAGGGGAGGTCATCACATCCAGCATTTACTCCCTTCTTCTATAAGCGGAGAGGAATCCAGGGATGAGACTCAGGTTTGCCCTACACTAACAGAATCAGGGGTTCAATCTCCAAAACCACATAAAACCACATAAGATGGCGACATCTGTAAGCCCAGAAAATGTGGAGGTGGAGGCAAGAGAACCAGGAGTTAAGTGCCTGCCCTGGCTACCTCAAAAGTTTGAGGCCAGCCTGAATGAATTTCAAAACCCAAACAAAATAAAACAAAATGGCCTTGGGCTGCCTTTGCATGGGGCTTTTACATCTTCCCACACCTGGCCAGTTAGTTACTCCTGTTGAGCAACAGAAGCTTTGATTTCCATCACGAAAAGGAAGGTTTTGTTTTCTAAGATAAACTAATCAACCTGAAAACTTAAGGTTAGCACAAAGTCCTCCCCAGAGTTGCCAACTTGGCCTCAAAGTACAGTAAAGCTCTAATGTAGGAACAGCTGAGCACAGATGGGGCTAAAGAACCCAACTGACAAGACCGAAGTAGATTCTAAACAAAAGAACCTTAGTTCTCATTGGAAAACAAGTTCAGCTTCTGTTCCCACTTTAGCTATCAGGAGATCAGAAGCCAATTCCAGGGACCAGAATAGAATTTAAGATAATACCACAAAGATTTAATTTCATATCAATCCACTAACACAAACTTGACTCTAGACACTTAATCAGAGTGTCATTCTATACCGTGACATATAACTAATTTCTTTAAAAAGTTCCCTTCAATTATAAAGCATATATATAATTAGAACATCAGATGTCCCTTTAAAATATCTTCAATGTCACCCGGTGGTGGTGGTGGTATACGCCTGTAATTCCAGCACTGAGATCTCTGTGAGTTTGAGGCCAGCCTAGTCTACAGGCCAGCCAAGGCTACAGAGAAACCTTGTCTTGAAGAAATGAAACAAAACAATGTCATCTCATTAGACAATGTAAGAAAAAATGGTATTCAAAAAGGCAAAGGTACTCAGCTCTAGTTTGCTCAAGGACCACAGTAGACAGCACTCTTGTCAAACGCCTTCATTCTTGGGGCATTATCTTAGCTTCTATACAACCTCCTCCATTAAGAGTCTCAACCCTAGGACTGAAATACAGATAGATACAGATCCAACTTTTGTATCTCCAGTAACACAGAATGTTCTCTAACAATTTCTAGGAACTAGACATAAACAAAAGTCAACTAACTGTGCTAGAAGGACATTTTAAATGGGCAAAATGTGTAAAAAAAAAAACATAATTATAAACACATGAAAAAACTTGTAAGTTAAACAAAAAGTACAACAGAACGCCAAATTTCCAACATAAATACGATCCAAATTAACCACATACACATTTACACCACCTACAGAAAGACCAGGAGAAAACATGAAAATACAGCTGCTAGAAGGCCAGTTTCCTAGGTAAGTGGTATGTTTGTTCTGCAGTGCTAAGAACTGAACTCAGGGCCCTGTGCATGCTAGACACATGGTCTACCAGAGCCACACCTCTAGCCATTTCTGTTTCAAAATCTTTGAACATCTGCTAACCTATGATGAAACATTTATTGACTACTTATTGAATATCTGCCAGGTTCTCTGGCATTTAACTGTCACTGAGCTCAGAGATCCTAAGACGTCATCAAGGAAACTAGATTTGGGGACTAAGGATGCAGCTCACTTGGGAGAGCATTTGCCTAGCACAGAGCAGGTCCTAGGTTCCCTAGAGCATTAGCACCACATAAATCAGGTTTGTAATTCCAGAACAGAGGATATAGATACTGATATCAAATTCGACTTCAGATACACACCAAGTCTGAGGCTACATGAGACTCTGTCTCAAAAGCAACAGGAGCTGGGGAGATGGCTAAGTGGCTAAGAGTATGTACTATTCTTGCAGAAACCCAAGTTTGCTTCCCAGCACCCACATCAGGCAGCTCACAACTGCCTGCAACTCCAGCTCCAAGGGGTCTGATGCCTCTGCAGGCACCTGCATTCATATACACATACCCCAACATGGACATAATTACTGGATGTAATCTAAGGCCCTGAATTCAATCTGGGAATGGTCTGTGACATTGTTTCTTCATGCTGTCCAATGGATGAATAAATTGCTAGAACAGTGTTTCTTTCTTTAGTTGGTTGCTGATCATAATGACATAGACCAGCTCTCTAGGGGGAAGGGTCAAGGGAAGGAAACATGCTCCTAGAGTCTCTGGAAGACCATGGCTAAAATCTTCTTTCCCAGCTCTCAACCCCACTGCACTATTTACATTTCCTTATACTTTTGCCAAAAAGTATACCCACCTCTCAAAAATGGAGCTTAACTACTTTACAGTTGCCAAAGAGCTCAGGCATGATACCAGAGTTTGTCCATATAGAACCCTAGGCTGCTAGTCAAGAATTCAGTACAACAGACAGTGTCTGAGCCTCTTCTCCAGTGGCCTTCCCATTAGAAATGTGTTCCACATATGGGTACTGTGGGCTCAGTATTGTCCAATGTTAGCAGATAAGCAGACAGAGGATGACAAGGGCAGTCACCAAAAACAAGCAGGATTTCGTCAACACATCAACTGTCAACATAGAAGACTCTAGTCTACACCACACCAATACCTGTTTTCTTTTGTGTTGAGAATGGCACTCGGGGCTGAGAGATGGCTTAGCCGTTAAAGGCTAGGCTCACAACCAAAAATATAAGAGAATAGCACTCAAGGCCTACATACATTGAGGTGAACGCTCTATCCCTGACACCCTCTTCCCCCCCCCCCCCGACACCCCCCCACACTGGTACCCCCTTTTCCCCATCTCTGACACCCTCTCCCCTGACACCCCCTCCCCCCCACTGATACCCCTTCCCCCCTACTGACAACCCCCTCCACCCCCCACCTAGTACACACAAGACCTTACTGTTTCCTCATTTGTCACATCAACCATTTACCCAAATTAAATCCAATAAAGGATTTCCCCAATTCCAGGATTCAAACAGGATCAATAGTTTTCAATTATTAAGTCTTATATTAAAAAACAAAACATTCCATTTCACATTTTAACAAAAGCAGTACAACTGTTACAAAGCGATGCTCTCGGTGGGCTGGAGGGCACATTTTGTTGCGCCTCATCTACATCTCAGAGTTTTGCTTACTCATTTCTTCTTCTGAAATAGGCAATGTCAGAATAGCAGTGAGCAATGAACATGCAGCTTCCGGTGTGTTCCCCAGACAGACCTTTCCTTGGCTTGACTAAGATGTCTCTCCCTGACACTCTGGCCACCTATCACCAGGCTAGCTCCTTTCTGGGGACCAGCTCGATCAATTCTGGTTCCTTGAGAAAGCAGGTGTCTTGAAGGCAACTATGAGCATTCCCAGGTCTCTGCTCTGCTGTACTGCCTGCACAAAAACACTGCTACCCTTCTTCACCAGCAACCCTTAGGGTCAGACATGTTCTAGGCAACACTGACCCATAGAACACTGACCCACAGAAGATGCCACCTGAGCTCCTCTGGCCTTTGGCTGAGATGAACTGCTGGAGTAAGAGCTAAGCTTCTCCTAGGTTATCTGCTGCTGCAATTCCTCCTGAGCCCCTGTACTATACATGTAACTCCAGATAACTTTTAAGAGGGGAAGGGTTAAAAATGGATTCACTTCTGCTTTCCTTTTTTTCTTCTTTTTATTTAGATAAGTGTTTGTCTCTGTAGCATAGACTGACCTTACAACCATAGCAATCTTCCTGCAGGTGTTGGTGATGCCAACTAAATATGTGCTCTGTAAGACAATTTCACATGGTGTCATTAATGCACCAGCGGTGAAATTCTTCTGGCCTCCCAATAGGCTCTACCTCCAAAGCAAGCAATTTTATACTGTTTTTTCCTTGTATGATGTTAGGTGGAAGGGACTCAACACAAGGTAACTTCTGGATACTAAGCACATAAGGCCATTGCACCATCTCTCTAACCCCATACAGACATTTTTCTAACTGTAGAAGAAATTAAGAATTAACTAGCAACAAGCCTCAAAATTTGGTTACGAATGTAGGTGCAAAGCTGGTTCATCAAGTCCCTATTCTGGCCCTCAACCCAATGCATTTCAACTAAGGCATCATCTACTTCCTTCTTAATGTTGATTAAACACTTAAAAAGGTAGTGTCCAGCTGCTCCATCCAGGTGATCCCCCTTCTCAGAAGCCTCTCCGTCCTGGGCTCCATTGCTGGAGCCTTTACAACTTCCCATGACCTCCATCCCCACCCTTTCCTCATCCCTTTCATCCTCCATGGCTTCTGGAGTTTCTTCCTGGCACAGTAACTTCTGGCTGAGGCAATGGCCACCAACCGCAGCAGACTCGCCCTCTGGCACATCAGGCCCACACAAGGCACTCTCTTGAGGGCAATGAGCCACATCTTGGCCACTACTCAGCTCTTTGGGAGTGGACTTTCTCTCTTCCAAGGCTAAGATGACATCCTCAGGAGCCCGAGGCACCTCCCTCAACTGCCTCACTCGCTCTCTTCTCTTCCGCCTTAAGTGAATCCAAGAGTTTTCTATGGCTGTCAGGAAAAGGCTAACTTCTTCTCTTCCACAGGGAATTCGCTTATGTTGCACCTATGTGGGAAAAAAAAAAAGAACAGAATTTTATAGGAAATCACTTGTCACTACTTATCAAATTCCTTCAATAAAAAACAAACATACAAACAAAAAACCCATAAAGGTCATGATGGTAAAGCTTCATCAGTATGCTGGCCACACACCTTCAGATCAGTGAGGATTTTTTCTATCCATGTTGTTACAACCACTATGCCTTCTGCTGTCTCAGAGCCCAGAGACGAGGCTTTGAGGGATAATTCTTTCATCACAGACTCCAACACTACAAAAGTAATGGGTTTCCTTGGCTTTTCTAATTTTCTTCGTTTACTTGGAGGTGACTGAAAGAAAAAAGAAGAAAGTTATCCCAACAATTAAATAAAGTGCACTTCAGTGGACACAAGTAGGGACATTTTCAGGGTTTCTGTTATTGGGTGTGAACAGAAAGGCCTTTGTACATGTTATTTCCAATGCTGAAGTTGGCTCTGGAAGAAAGCTTTACCACTTCCTTCATGTTATAAAAACAAAACAAACAAACAAACAACCTAAGACAAGCTATGACCTTAATAGCTCAAAGTCATACCACTAGTAATAGCATGTTGGGATTCAAACTCCAAATCCAAACTCTTCAATCCCATCACCTCTGCTCCACTCCAGCTACCAGTACATAATAAACAGCTAAGGGATGGCACCCCAGTTTCTAAAGTGTTTGCCATGCAACCTTAAGATGGACATCTGATCCCAAGAATCCTCATGAAAACCACAGGCCAGGAATGATCAGGGCCACTGAGAATCACATGGGTGGAAGAAATTGGGCTCAGACCATGTAAGCCTGTAAACTGGGGCTGAAGGACACCAGTACTAATGAGAACATCACACTTGAAAGCTCGAGCCCCGGGAATCCAAACCACCTTCAAAGTGTCTACCTAAGATTTAAACAGATTTCAATCCACCCACTAGAGGGACTCAAGTTCCACTTCAAATATCAGAAGTAACACTACGGTAACTAAATTATTTCTTTAAAGTTAAAATTTTCTACACGGTACTCTTAAGATACATTTAGCTAAGAATACACACATATCCCTTGTGTTTAGGGGAGGGGGCAGTGTTGTTTTACTATGTTGCTTTGGCTAGCCTAGAACTCACAGAGATCCAACTGCCTATTTTCCCAAGTAAAGACTGGGGGTGGCTGCCAGACACACTTTGAACATGCAGATTTGTGCTAATCAATAAAAGTAAAAACATTTAAAAATTAGCCGGGTGGTGGTGGCGCACGCCTTTAATCTCAGCACTTGGGAGGCAGAGCAGAGGCAGGGGGATTTCTGAGTTCAAGGCCAGCCTGGTCTACAGAGTGAGTTCCAGGACAGCAAAGGCTATACAGAGAAATCCTGTCTCGAAAAACCAAAAACAAAAAAAAACCAAACAAACAAAAAAAAAACACACACACACACCCCAGAGATAGACAGAGAGAGAAGGAGGCAGGAGGTGGCAGGCTCCAGGGGGATGAAGTAGAGATGGGGGAGGCAGTAACAAAAGCAACAAATCAGAAAAATACTCAAATGCACCTAAAATGGAAGCCTCAGGAGGATGAGACAAAATCACAAGTTCGAGGCTGGCCAGAGCTATATACCCTAAACCCTGTCTCAAAATAAAAACCAACGCTGCCCAAAGAAGAAAACCTACCCAATGGTTGTACCTGTGTAGAAGAAACTACCCTTGAGAACAGGAGATCCTTAAGACATTGATCACAGAGTTCAATAGCATGAAGACAGCAACACTGTTACTCCATTACCCATAATAAGAGACAGGGTTCCTACAGAATACTGAGAGCCAACACACAGGGAGTTTGAAATAAGGTTTCTAGTAAGCCCGGGAGAAAAAAGACTGGCACATAGGATGATGAGGGACAAAAGTGGTACTTTTCACTATACTTCACACCAGGTCAGGCCATCCTAACAGCCTACTAGTACACTACGGGAATGGCTAACAGGACAGCCACACACCATCTGCTCTGACAGTCATCTTTTGTGCTGAGTAATCTCTAGTGAAGAGCCTACCATCTCTCCTCAGCTATGGGGGAGATGCTCTGCTCCATGATTCTTTGAAAGTTAACAGTGAACTCTATCATTCTCAGAAATTAAAAGACATTAAGTTCTGCCCAGATGTGGTAGCACATGCCTTTAGTTCCAGCACTTGGGAGGCAGAGACAGACAGATCTTTTGAGTTCATAGTTACTAGTCTTTAGAGTGAGTTATAGGACAGCAAGGGTTACATAGAAAAACACTATCTTTGAAAAAAAAGAAAAACAGCAAACTAGCCAATTGTGTTATTGTAAGCTTTGAATCCCAGCACTGGGAGGCAGAGGCAAGAGGATCTCAAATTTGAAGCCAACACGGTCTACAGAGAGAACCCCTGTCTCAAAAAACAAAACAAAACCTAGTCACTCAAGAGATACAGTTCATATCCTAGAACTTCTCAAGTAAGGTTTCCAAGTGATGAAAGATTAACTTAACCATGGCACTCAGTAATGATTCAAAACCACACTCTGTCTTCTTTGTAACTAAAAATACCCAGTAAACAGAGCAATAAGAAATGCAAAATCAGGCTGGAGAGATGGCTCAGAGGTTAACAGCACTGGCTGTTCTTCCAGAGGTCCTGAGTTCAATTTCCAGCAACCACATGGTGGCTCACAACCATCTGTAATGGGATCCGATGCCCTCCTCTGGTGGGTCTGAAGACAGCTATTATTGTACTCACATACATAAAATAAATAAATCTTAAAAAAAAAAGAAAAGAAAAAGAAACAAAGAAAAAGAAATGGATAGTTAAACTCAACCCTACACGTCTCTGGCACTAGGACAATTTTGTACCTTATTAAAGACACTAATAAAAAAAGTTATTTTTCCCCAACTGAAATGATTCTGTTGTTGCTGTTTCTGAACCGGGATCTCACATTGCCCAGATTGGTCTCAAATTTTCAACTCTTGCTAGGCAGTGGTGGCGCACGCCTTTAGTCCCAGCACTTGGGAGGCAGAGGCAGGTGGATTTCTGAGTTCGAGAGTTCTAGGCTAGCCTGGTCTACAGAGTGAGTTCCAGGACAGACAGGACTACACAGAGAAACCCTGTCTCGAAAAACCAAACCAAAAAAAAAAAAAAAAAAAAAAAATCCAAGTGCTTAAGGTCTGGGCTAGAAAATTAGATTGAGGTCTGACTTTGAGCAGCCTCCAGGGCCTGGTACCACTCTCCATAGAACTGTTTCCTGGTTTAATGAAAAAAGGTTATTATATGTATTTAAATAACAACTATAAGCAGCACTTCAAACCTTCCAAAACCAACTTTAGTCCTAGGCACAGGGTAGTGCCTCAATGTATGTCTTAAGTCATTCCTTCCTTTAAACGTTCAACAAATTCTTCCTTAAGACAAACTGCCAAAGAAAACAATGGGCGAATCTTCCCCCTAAAGTAATTTCTGACCAGATTAGTCTTAATTGTCTCTTTCTGAAATGTTCTTATCCCATCACTCATCTCAGCACTTATACAATATACAGCACTTATACACTATATACAATCTTTATATACATTGTTTCAGGTTCGTTTTGTTCTGCAACAAAACTAACAAGGAACTAAAAAGGTTCTGATTTATTACCACAGCAAGGATCATACTTTGATTCTGCTCAAAGCTCAGTTCCCTAACCACTACATCTGTTTTATACCCTATTGTGGAGTCTGGTACAGTTCTAGTTCACCAACCATTTTCAAGTTTGGTGTGGAGGCACATGTCTGTAATCTCAGAACCAAGGAGAGGAAGGAGAAACACCACACCTGATCCAGGCCAGCCAGAAATAGAACAGTAAGACCCCTACCCTTAAATAAATATACAGATAAAAACTAAAGCATACAACCACTTCCCAAACTATGTCTTAGCAACAGTATTCCATCAACAAAAATCCACAGCTAAAATCTGATTTAAAAACAACAGCAACAAAAAAAACACAGATCAAAGAATGAAGCCTAAAATACCAAATTGATGTTTACCTCCAACTTCTAGCTGTTACCCTGAGACATGTGCTTAGAACCCCTCAAATATCTGTCTTGAAAATATATAAAGTAGAGGCTGGCAAGATGACTCAGTAGTTGAAAGCACTGGCTATCCTTCCAGAGGAGCCAGGTTCAATTCCCAGCACTTATATGGCAACTGACTATAACTCCAGTTCCAAGTGATCTGACACTCTCACACCAATATATATAAAATAAAATTAAATAAACTATTTAAAAGGGGGGAAGGGGCTGGAGAGATGGCTCAGGAGTTAAGAGCAGTAGCTGCTCTTCCAGAGGTCCTGAGTTCAATTCCCAGTTAACTACATGGTAGCTCAAAACCATCTATATCAGAAAAGGGATCTGATGCCCTCTTCTGGTATATCTGAAGATAGCTACAATATACATTAAATAAATAATATTTTTTAAAAAGGGATAGAGAAAGGATGTGTTTTCAATGGTATTAGCTGTGAGACCACAAGAACTAAAATCCTTTAAAAAAGAAAAGAAAAATCTATGAAGGGACCTGTGAAGCTGACTCAGCAAGTACAGGTAACTCTCCACAAGTCTGACTATAGGGGAAAAAGAGGGCTCCAACAAGTTTTCTTCTGACCCCATATACATATACATACGTGTGCTGACACACTATATATAAAATATTAAAGATATAGTTGTGCATATGCCTATGTGAGTTTATGTGTTACCACATGCATGCAGGTGCCTTGGAGGCCAGAGGGTGTCAGATCATTAGAAATTGGAGTTAAAGACAGTTGTGAGCAGCCTCATGGTGGATGCTAGGAGCCAAACCCATGTCCTTGGGAAAAACAGTAGTGGTTTTAACTGCTGAGCCATCTCTCCAATCTCAATAAATAAAAATATTTTTCTAAGAAAGAAGTCTAAACTGAACATGGTGTATGCCTTCAACCCCAGCACTCAGGAGGCAAGGTCAGTCTGGTACACAGCAAGCCAGGCCAGCCAAGGCTACATAGTGAGACTATATCTCAATTAAAAAAAAAAAAAAAAGCCAGGAGGTGGTGGCCCACACCTTTAGCCCCAGCACTTGGGAGGCAGAGGCAGGCAGATTTCTGTTTTGTTTTGTTTTTTGGTTTTTCGAGACAGGGTTTCTCTGTGTAGTTCTGGCTGTCCTGGAACTCACTATGTAGACCAGGCTGGCCTCGAACTCAGAAATCCGTCTGACTCTGCCTCCCAAGTGCTGGGATTAAAGGCGTGCGCCACCACCACCTGGCCAGATTTCTGAGTTCGAGGCCAGCCTGGTCTACAGAGTGAGTTCCAGGACAGCCAGAACT